CCAAAGAATCTTGCAAAAAGAATTAACTAATTAAAGACCCAGAAAAAAAATACATATGGGTACTATTATATAAGCCATGAAATTTTGATTATACGATTATTCGAGCTTTTCGGCTTGACTAATTCCGCTAACTTTGCTCACAGGAATGACATCATTCGTTCAAATATTACTTCAAGTGCGGGACACCGCAATTCGACAGCAAAATCTAGGGCATCCCAAATTGGAGTGTTTAATTTAACATTTTGGCCAAACTCTTGAGGGTTAAACATGGGATTCTTGCTGAACATGTATGTATATATATTGAGATATCCATCACCATTATATTAATAACCACCTCCCTTCTTGTTTCCTAGACTTCTCCGTCTCTTAGCCTAAACCACTTCCCTCTCCTTCTTCTTCTTGTCACTTTGTTTCTAGCAAAGCTCTGCAGGATCTGCCCCCACCCTCTCGTTCCTACAAACCCTTGGTTCTTGGTTTTCGATCCTGGTTATTTCCAAGTATATATGTTGTCCTGATTCAGTTTAGCTCATAATCTTTCATGGGTACGTCGAGCTCTGAAGTTATCGTGGTCCTAAAGAGAGATCTCAACGCCATGGAAGACCTCAAGAACTTCTTCTCCAGGAAGGTCTCGCCGGAATTTCAAGAAGTTGGTGCACAGGAACAAAGCGAGGAGGTTATAGAATTGGCATCTCCAGGAGAAGTCAGCAGCGTTGAAGAAGACGAAGACGGTTTCAAGACTCCGACGCCGACGACACCATCAGGCCGGGAAGCAGAAATCCCGGCGGCAGTTCAGTGCCCGCCGGCGCCGAGGAAGGCTCGAGCGGTCCGGTCAGCGAAGAGGAAAGATCGCACTGCAGGAGTTGCTTTGCTCGACCTGACAGACGAGATCGATTCCCTGTTCCCGCCGGCGATCCGGAGACACCTGTACGGTAAGATCAAGAAAGTGAAGAGGGAGAGCAATGTGACCGCATTGTGTTGAAGATTTGACGTTGTATAATTCATTCTTCGATGTGGAGCTGTTGCCGTTACGTTGTTCTGTCTTAACGAGAATAGAAATCTCTCCTCGGACTTCGTTTCCTTTCTTTTCCCTCTTTTGTAATCTTGTTATTTGGTTGACACTGCATTTCCCTCACGCTCTTCATGAACGAACCGCTTTCCTTTCGAAGTTGGTTGAGGGCTTAATTCTCCTTCATCGCCAAGATAGTAGCTGTACAATCGGGTTTGAATATCTATGGATATACATCAACTATTCAAACTCGACTGGGAATTCAAACCGCGATGCTCGACTCCAACGAGATCAAGCTCGATTTTTCGCGCTCGAGTTAGGTTATCAAAATCACTTCTACTGGTTTTGAGAGAATTGAAGTTAAGTTTACGGATGTCAAATTAAAATATGTAAGTATAATCAACATTGAGGTCTATTTCACATGCTCATTGGTAAGTTAACTGTCTGCTATTGCTTAGAAAACGAGAATATATGCAAACATGACTTATACGGCTAAAGGGTCAAACTCGATTGATGCACATATCGAATAACGTAATAAGTTCGATATGTATGTGGTTTAGCTACACAACACGTCCGACTTATTATACCACGGAAGTTTATAATTTCGTTAAGGTAATGTTGTCCTCCATCTTCGATTCCCTCCAATCGGTCATTGGATTGGAGGGCTAAGAACACGGGCGCCATTCACTTTTAATTTTAGTTAAGTTTGTAAATGGGTTTTGTCCATAATTCGTAACTTGCAAATCAGAAAAGACGCGGCTAGAGGCCTGACATATTAAATGGGAAGGGCAATAACACCTCAGATTCGGATGGGATCCTGGTATAACGTGGGGGGATGTCACAAACCTAAGAACATGTCATCCACAGTGTCTGCATAGGATTCCCCCTCATTCCCGGCGCCACATGCAACCTCTCTCTCTCTCTCCTTGTTCAGCATTGACTTTTGGCGAGAGAGAGAGAGATGCAGACATGCTCCATTTGTTTTCTCTCTGTGTTTTTTCTGTTCTTGAACCCTAATGGATATGGAGGAGGATCTTCGTGTTCCTTGAAGATGGCACGCCGCGCTCCGTCTAGTCAAAGGGTCTTTAAGTGCAGCACCACTTGCCACTTCCTTCCAGGTGTCTTTTGCTGCGAGCATCTCGTCTCGTCTCAGTGTCTTTAATGTTGGAACCCTAATGTAGCCGGCAGTGACCGGCACTGACCATTCTTTATTGCTATTTATGGAAAAGAAGTTGCAAAAAAAGAGAAAGAATTTATCTATGAAGCCGATCATGGGCACGTTACATGTATTGGAATCCTATATCATTGATATCGATCGTCCTCTTATCTGCATATTTTGTTTATATCATACTCAGATTGATTTTTTTTTTCCTTTTATTTATGCAAGAAAGATTTCGATTGCTTCATGGGTATAGCCCATATATCATATCTCGATTACTTTTTTTGTATCCACATAATGTGAAACGACGAGTTGGTTGTTAGTTATATTAAGTTCACATTAGGGGCTCTCTGTAGTCAGGTGACCTCGATGTAAGATAAAGTCATTTACTTCAGAGAGCAGCTCGAACATTTGTTTGTAATAAATCAGATTCATCAAAAGTAAAGCAAACCTCATTTTTATGTAAATTTTTAATTTTTTTCAAAAGGAAAATTAAATTTCTCATGTAGCAAAGCGTGGTTATTCTTAGTAACATCATATACTTTCTGGTATACCACATTCATCAAGAGTAAAATGAGTCTATTTGTCAATAAAAATTTTCAGTTGGCATTAAACTTTACTTGTTCATGGTAAATTTTGCATCCCATCATTTATTCACAGTAAACTTTATTTGATTGGTGGCCAGTTTGCGATAGGTCTTGTATTTACTAAGAATGAATTATATTTATCATAAACAACATGATATCCATCATAAATAGATTATAGTAAAGTAGTCATTTCACCACAAACAACATGCATGTATCACGAACAACTTCTATATACCTAGAACAAATTGCATGCATCAAGAATGACTTGCGTTTATCCGGAACAAGTTATGGTTGTGATAAGCAGTGGTAAACATTATCTTTGTCCATGGTAAACCCAAATTGGTGAACCTTATTCAATATTTTCACCACGAAAGAATGAGTTTGTTCTTCATCATATTGAGCTGTTAGTTCGCGGCAAAAATTACCCGTTCTTTGTAAATACTTGAAAAGATTTACCGCGAATGAATTAGGGTTAACCACGAACAAACGACAAGGATCACGGCTTATCATAAACATAGCTTGTTCTTGTTTTTAGTATCCCAGGTCAATTTTGGTTGGACAAATCATGACTCGATCCACTCTTTTAAAAGGTCTAATCAAGGGATTGCTCACTCTCTTCTACATACTAGTCTCTGCTCTCTTGACTTCTCGAGGCAACAAAAAGTGATTCATGTGGGCATTATCTCTTTAATTTTTTCCTGCAAAAGTCAAATAATAATGTTTTGGAGTATGAATTTGGGGAATATAAAGTCATGGGCAGTAGGTATAGCTCGGAGGAACCAAAGTAAAAATATTCATTGGCACTTGGCTAATTAGCTACGGACCATGCAAGAACCAACAACGCATTAGAAGTTCGTGGTACTTTTTGACTTTTCTACTAGCGTCAATTAAAATATTTACTAAGCCGAATCGAAAAAGCTAGAGTCGTTTTCTAAGTAATCTTTGCAAGAGAATATCCAATTGTTTCATGAATGTCAACAAAGCAAAAGAAAAAAAAATGCTTAGTAGAAAAAAAAAAGGACGACTAATCCTCGTTCGTATTTATACCCAAGCTCCGAAACTCTCGTTTTATGCATTTAAGTCCCAAAACTTGTTACAGCAGTTCACTTTAATCGTTCCGTTAGCTCCGTAAGAATTTAGTCAACGGAAAATCTATGTGACTTTTTTTTTCATTAAAGGCCACATGAGATTGAAAAAATAATTTAAAAAAGTCGCGTGGCATTTTTTGTTTGCTTAAAACCGACAAAGTTAATGACAAGCCTCAAGCACACTACAATCATAAGTTTTATGACTCAATTACATCACATATTGAATTTTAGGACTTTGTCATGTGATGGCCCCAAAGAGATGCGTATCAAAGTGCGAAGGGATAATAACACAAATGGTCCATGAACTTCGGTCTATTGTGCAATGTGGTCCCTAAACTTTACTCTAATGTGTAATGTGGTCCATGAACTTTTAATTTGTTCAACGTGAATTTAGTCCCTAAATTATATGGAAATGTTCAATACCATCCTTCCATTAATTCAAGTTTAGGAAAAATATTAAACATTTTCGAATAATCTAAGGACTAAATTGAGCATGTACTAAAAGTCCATTTAAAAGTTCGGGGACAACATTGCACATCGAGCTAAAGTTAAAAGACTATATTGAACAAATTAGAAGTCAGAGATCACATTTACATTTGGTCAAAGTTCAAAGACTATTTATGTCATTTTCCCAAGTGCGAATTGGGTCGCCAAAGAGGACCGAGTGATTGTGGTTTTTGTGGAGAAGCTTACTTGTAATCAGGCCAGTCCGTTGTTCGGGCCAACGACATTTAAGCACAGACGATTGGGCCAGTACGGGCCCAGTAAGCCCAAACTGCCATATCCAAGCCCGCCCACTTCTTCAAAAGGCCCGGCGAGTTTCACGCCGGAGCAAAGTGTTGGGTCGGGCCGGGTTGGTTTCGGGTCACATCTCTAAAATTGCTTAGCGTGCAGCGCACTATATCCAAAAGCAAACCATTACAGAAGATTTCAACACAGTTAGATAGTCAAATTAGCTCTTCGCAAAGTTAAGTCTCTTGAAATTTTATGAAGCTCGAATGACCTTTAATCAGCTCTAAGATAACTATAGAAAGACACAAAAGCTCCGTAGAAAAGAAATCCCCCTTAAAGAAAATACCTGACATACTTCTTATTCCGACTAGATTACATCCCTCAAGTTTGAGCATGCAAATTATCTTGGCATAGCAATCAGATGGTATCTTGAATCAGTTTTCTTGGACCGGATTAGTTTACAACCGGTCCGGTCAAAGATAGTCAATCCAAACCAAGGTTGAAAGATTCATGAAGAATTGCTTCTCGTGATTTGATTGCAAGTGATTATCCTGAGTAAGAATTGAAGCGAAGATCCCACGCTTTTCGGGATATGCTATCCTAAAAGTTTCACAAGTCGACGAACCCTAATGGTGTCGCGGGGCGTGACATCGGCTATGGGGAAGTTGTTTGATGGGTCATGGGAGGCAAATTCTTTTTATGGAGAAAACAGCTTTAGGACAAGCAAAGGAAGTTGCAGGGCATGGTCTTAACTATTTTCTGTATCTTCGGGGTGCGAATAAAGAAATGCCGTCTCTCCTCCTGCATACTCATCTAAGAACACGAGCCCCGACCGTTAACAACTTGGTGGCACTGGTTGTTGGCGGAACATGTTTGTCATCTTGTGCAAAGAAAACATGCTTCCGAAGACTGAAACCTAATTCCCTGTGCTCTCTGCAATTTTTCTACTTGAAAAGGCACACCATGATTCTGTTCCTTCTTTCTTTTCTGGTCAAACAAGGTTGTTGTCGTAAAGAGCACAGGAAAAAGGCAAACACCCAAATCATCACCAGTCCTCTGGCTCAACTTCTCCCTCCTTTTTGACTCTCTCTGTCTCTCTGTGTCTGACGGATCCAATTGTTCCTCTCTCTGTATATAGCCCACCATCTTAGACGATCAATCAACCTGACTCTGTTCGTTTCTAGAGGAAACGACATTGGAGGAAATGTCTCGTGTTTCACCTCATGCGAGGGCTTGAAACTGCAAAGAAGACGGTCAAGACAGAGTGCCCTAGGGACATGGCTCAACAGGTACCTGTTTTCTGCCTTTCTTTTTGTTTTTTTTCTTTCATTCTGCGTCTAGATTCCTTGATGACAAATGTGCTTACTAATTTGACATGCCGAAGACGGTACATTACGTTGTTCATGCAATGTCCTTTCGAAATAGCATTGGCTGTTGTTTCTGCTGAATGGTCTGATCTGATCTCTATGTGTTTGGCAGAGAGAGGGATGGCCTCTGGGGTTGCAGCCAGTGAACGTGAGGGTTGGGTTGGGGAGGAACAACAGGGAACACTCGGCTGGCTCCATATCTTTCAACACTCTGCTCACTGGCTCTCCCACTTCTTCCACAGACTCTTCGTCGGATTTGGACACTGAGGTCAGTGAAAAAATTGGAAGGCAAATTGCCTGAAAATGATGTTGCCCCTACCCTATGAGCGCATTCCCTGTGGAAGCAAAGATGCCATTTTTTAAAAGTGACATAAAGTAGAGAATAAAGGCAATGATGAGATTATAAATGGGTTGTCATGCAGACTTAGTTGGACTGAAAAATCCCATCTGCTATAAACAGAGTACTCAGTTTCTGTAAATGCATTTTGCCGGAAGAATTAGAAGATCTCGCATCTGAACAACCTCAATGCCGGTCAATTTCAGTTCGTCACCCCGGGAATTCATCCGGGAGTCGACAAATCAGCTAATTCTTGCTAAATTAATGTGAATGAAGGATCTGCGGTTTCGTTGTATGCAAAATTAAACTGGTGAAGCCCCTCCCAATTTCGCTAACCAAACTGTGCGTCTCATCATCCAGTCCACAGGATCGTTCTTCCATGATAGGAGCATCACGCTCGGGAGCCTAATTGGAACTTCCACCATGTTAGAGCTCTCTCGGAGATCGACGAGGATCCGAAAACCGGAGGCCATCAAGAACAAGAAAAGCTCCAAGCCCAGAATCTGGTTATTCTCTCTGTGCTCAGGAGTGAGCACTGATGTGGAGAACATGGACAATGCCACTGCTCAGTCGCTCGGCCATTTCCTTGCCGTGGAGAGGAAAGCTGCCAACGAATGTAGGAGGATCGGCCAGAGCCCGATCATGTATGGTCCCGACGAGATCGTCATAGCCCAACGCGAGAGCGGGGCGTCGAACTCGCTCTTCGTCGACGGCCAGGTCGCCCCTCCTAGAGCGAGTCCAGGACTGGAGGAAGGCGATGATGGGTACGGAGTGTCTCTAATTCTTTGCTGCGCTTGTGGGAATGGCACTCATTGAATGATCCCGACCTTTGTGGTTTGAATTTTGTGGTGGTGAATTGATTGATTGGGTGGGAGGAGCGAATTTGTCCTGGGGAAGTTTTCTATCGTTAGACCTTCGTTAATATCTTCAATTGTCGTGCTTTCACTTTTTTCTGTTTTCATCCACCAACGCACCGAAAGTTGACAGCGGACCAGCACTGACCAGCGCGGAGCGCTGATCCTGGTTTGGCCAAAAACATAAACTAGACAGACATTATTAAGGTGGGTTTATTTAGCGAAAATAAATGATTTAGAAAATATTTTTCGATTGCTTACAAAAATGAACGATCATTTATATTCTACGAAACAAACGGACCCTAAAAGCATTTGTTGGAGTCACCTAGCTCAAGACATGTCACGTCGAAATTGTACGTGAGAATTCATAAAAAAAAAAGGCATATATATTTATCCGAAGCTGCATTGAAAGGCAAAATGGCCCCGCCAGGGTGCCGAAACCCGAACCGGCCTATTTCGTATGATATTACACCGGGGAGGGCTTCCAGGGGCCTCCTTTAATAGGGATAATGACACAAACAGTTCCTGAACTTTGGCCCAATGTGCAATTTGGTCCATGAACTTTTAATTTGTTCAATGTAGTCCCTGAACTTTAGCTTAATGTTCAATTTAGTCCATGAACTTTTAATCTGTTCAATGTGATCCCTGAACTTTTGGTACATGTTTAATTTAGTCCCCGAACTATATGAAAATGTTCAATGTAGTCCTTCCATTAATTTAAGTTCATGGACTATATTGAACATTTTCATATAGTTCGGGGACTAAATTGAACATATATTAAAAGTCCAGGGATCACATTAAACAGATTAAAAGTTCATGGACTAAATTGAACATTAAGCTAAAGTTCAGGGACTACATTGAACAAATTAAAAGTTCAAGGATCAAATTGCATATTTGGCCAAAGTTCATGGACTGCTCGTGTCATTTTCCCCCTTTAATATGACGAGCGTGTAGGTGGGATTTTCCTCTCGGTGCCGTCAGGCGCACATCAATTTGACAAGTGGCAAAATATTATTGGCTAAAGAAGGGGCCTACTATCGAGATGGCGATCTCGGGATCGACCAAGTCTGGCGCGCACCTCGGTGAAATCGAGGTCATTTCATTCGACCGTTAGATCACGTGGGGACTCGTATACTTTAAGTGCGGATAAGAATTTTTTTTATAAGACCGCCCTACTCTTTGCTTTTTCTATGGTAATTCCGCACCAAAGTTTTTCGAGGCTAGAGAAAATATAGGGGTTATTTATGTAAAAGAACCTAATTGCAAAGCACTGTAGGGGGTAAAACTGAAGTGTTCGTCCGTACACTTCTCCAAATAAATTAACATCGCAAAACACGTGCACGGTCCGGATTTTATAGGGATTTTTCAATCACCCGAATGTTATGACTTCTCACACTTCGAAAGCCTACTTCACCTTAGATGACACTTCATCCAACAAGGAGAAAATATTACATAGGCCAATCTTGCCAAGTCACTAAGGGGGTGTTTGGTTCAGCTTTGGAAAGGGACTTTGAGCCCCGAAAGCCCCTTCCCAAAATGCTGGAGTGTTTGGTTCAGCATTTGGCCTAGCATTGGCCAAATACTAGCATTCCACGAATGCTATTGTTCACCAATATATATATATTTTTTTGGTTTGAAGCTGTTCTTCACCAGGCAGCCGGCGAGGGCGGCCGGCGAGGGAGAAGGGCCAACAAGGTCGGGCGACCACCGGCGAGCCAGATCTGCCGCCGTCGGCGATCGCCCGAGGCCGGGCGACCCTCGGCGGGGTCGCACGACCCAGCGACGGCCGCCCTGAGGTCGCGCGACCCAAGCGACGACCGCCTAAGGTCGCACGACCTCGAGGGACGGCCGCCCGAGGTCGCGTGACCTGTGCGACGGCCGCCTTAGGTCGCGCAACCCGGGCGGCCGTCGCCTAGGTCGTGCGACCCCGCCGAGGGTTGCCTGGCCTCGAGCGACCGCCGGCGGCGGCAGATCTGGCTCGCCGGTGGTCGCCCGACCTCGGGCGACGGCCGCCGACGCCAGATCTATCTCGCCGGCGGCCGGCTCCGGCGATGGTAGGTTTTGCTTTTTTTTTTAATAAATAAAATAATTCTCAAAGTCCATTTGCAAAAAAAATTTACCAAACACTATATTTTGGCCAAAGTAGCTTTACAAAATATTTTTACCAAACACCATTTGCATTTCCCCAATGGGCTTTCACCCAAAGGTATTTGCATTTCCCCAAGTAGCATTTTCAAAATTGAACCAAACAGGCCCTAAGAAGTTAGTCCACTCAAATCTCGCCACGTGTACCATACGGGTCCCACCTTACGGAAATTTTGAAACTCCCCCTCTCTATGTTACTTTTTCCATCATCTCCTGACACTCTGTGTTCTCCCTCTCTCTCCTACTTGTCTCTCTCAAAATGAAGTAATCGCAATTGCAAAGGAATTCTGTTCAGTTCTGAAATTTGGACACCGCTATAACTTTCATGGAATCGCAAGTTATTGGTACATCACATATCCTCTTTAAATTGGGGTAAATTGTGTAGCTACAGGTGCTTCAGCTTTTGGAGAGAAATTGAAGATTGGAAATATGAAGCGGCCTTGTTTATAGGAGTCGTTATGCTTCCTTCTTGGCCTTGTCTCACTCTGCTTATCATCTCCACCATTCCTTCACAGTACCTGACTTCGATCTTTCTACGATTTCAAAGATGGATTAGCCACTCATGCGGAAACAACTTTCTCGTATTATCGCAACCATATACATCTAGAGATTCAAGAGAAATCTCTTCTACTCGGGGATGACCTCCGATTATCTCATCCATGTTCTCACAAAAGCATACTTTGATTCTTCTCGGATTAGGGGAGTGGGGAAGCCACTCAAATTCCACCACTCTCTTCATTTTATCATAGCGCTGAACTTCTATTTCCGTTAGACTAGGGAGATTGGGGGTGGATGTCGTGGTGGTGATGTAACTCTGCTACTATCCCCACCATTTCCTCACGGTCAAATATTTCAATCTCTCATAAATGTGGAAGGCAGAATTTAGACCCGTGCCCAAAAAGATACTTCAGTTTCGGACGATACCAGAGACTCAGCTCCCTAAGGCTCGGAAAGAGGAGACGAGTACGGGTTGGGATAAGGGAGTCATGGACGTTGATTATTTCTTCATCTTGTCCTCCACAGAGTACCCGCAAGTTTTCCATCCTTTTATGTTTAGCTCCATGTTCATTACACTCATATAAGCAGTGTAATGCCGGAGTAATCACGTATTTACCTTTCAGAAAACAAAAAGAGGAAGACTTGGGTATTCTTGGGTGGGAAGGAAGGAGAGCGGGTGTCCGCAACGGAGGAGTTGATGGAAAAGTAATGGAGAGAGGAGAGAGTGTTTCAAAATTTATGCAAGGTGGGACCCGTATGATACACGTTGTAGGGATTTGAGTGGACTCGCCTCTTACTGACTTGGCAACACTGGCTATGCAATATTTTCTCTATAACAAGTGGCCAGAAAGAACTAAAAAAAATACGTTCACACCAAGTTTCATACCACGTCGAATTTTCCAACACTTGTGGTGAATTCTTCTTCTTCTTTTTAAAGTCATGGCATTCAAGTGGACATGTCGTAAATTTGGCCCTTCGTTAGCTTTCTTTGACTTTGCCTACATATGAATCTTAAAATAGGGGTTCTCAATCTCAAGTGGGTAGGTAACGGATCAAAAATCTAGAATTTATCTCGTTAGAGTCGATTTCCAGTTCTTTAACCGAGAGCTGAATTGGTTGATCCTAGAACTGACTTGAAACCATCAAGCCTAGAACCAATCCATCCCTCTTTTTTTATCTTTCTGTTCCTTTTCTTAATCAAGCATATATATTCAGTGATGGTAACGCAACTTTTCCCATAAAAAAGAAATATAATGTGAGATTTGGTGGGATCAATGTCAACTGTTTAAATTGTTAGATGAAAGCGTGATTTAATATTTGAATATTCTAACACTCCCTCACATGCTAAGTCTGGTCTTTTTACCTAGCACTAAACATGGACAAATCTTCAGGACCTCTAGCTCTATGAGATTTGATGGGATCATTGCCAATTGTTTAAAAAACTTAAGTTATTAGTCGAAAGCGTGATTTAATATTTGAATATTCCATATAAAATCAAATATAATACTCAACATGAGAAATTAGAAAAGTGTTTTAAACATAAGGGCTTTAGGATTAGTTTTAAACCGATTCGACCTAAGAACTGGCTTTAAGGCCGATTCTCGAGTAGAACCGAACTGATCAAAGCCAATTTCTAAATTTTCTATCCATGAACAGAACCGGTCTATGTGTGAAACGGTCAAGTGAGGCCGGTTTAGTTCGGTTCCCAAATTAAACTTATCGAGTGCTCACCTCTTATTTAAAAAATTGCATTTATCTACGGTAGCAATCACATCCTTGTTATTAATATATGTGTTCTGATGCACGATGCATTGCCCAGTGGTAATTTCGAGATTCGTGCTAAAGTTGAGTTTCACAGTGGTGTACGCTCGGTCGGTCGATTTGGATGGTTTGAGTATCGGACTTACGATCCAAATTTTGACATCTTTCTTTCCAGAAATTATCTTTTTGCCACACAATCATGGCAAGCAAAAACGAGGTGGGGTTATCGATCTCGATAGTTCTTTTGCCTGCCTTTTTTTTTGTTTTTGTTTTTTACCCCCTTTTTTTTTATATTGGGGGAAACTTCTAGATTTTTAGACTAGATTTTTCGAACATTACTGGGCCGAACCAAACTTCTGTCCTCCATGGGCCATCCGAAGTCACTCGGCCCAAAAGCACTTTGAGCAAAACCAGAGAGTTTCTTGTTGTGTTGGCTTCAAGTTAGAGCGCCTCGCGCGCTCCTCACTTTACAGTCATTCACAAAATAAATAATTAAAAAAATATTTTTCTAAAAATAATTGCTCAAATCGCTCATAAAAAATAACGAACGAAAAATATTTTTATCACTCACGAAAATATTTAGACATATATCACTGTCAATAATAGAAATTTATTTAAGTGATTGTTTTCTTTCATTTTCGCGAAATAAATA